CTCAATCTCAATCTCATCTCATCCCTCAATCTCAATCTCATCTCAATCCTCAATCTCAATCCTCAATCTCAATCCTCAATCTCAATCCTCAATCTCATCTCATCTCAATCCTCAATCTCAATCTCATCCTCAATCTCATCTCAATCCTCAATCTCAATCTCATTCTCATCTCATTCTCAATCTCATCCCATCTCATCCCATCCCATCTATCCCAATCCTCATCTCCCCCTCCTCTCTCTTTTCGTCTCAGAATATCAGGCACACGAAATCAATTCTTGTATAATGGCAGCACTTTTCTCCATGAGGCCCCCGTATGCCTTGTCTAGATATGTGGTCCATTTTTTCATGGCATCAGAACATTCTTGTGTGGAGCAATGCCAGCAAAGAGATCATGTTCCTTCATTTCTATCTTGCCTGAATTTTGTGCAACTTGAATATCGGGTCCTCTTCTAGGCTTCCGAGCAGATGACGGATTGATTACAGAGAGTCCAGCAAAGGCCTACTCAGATGATTAAAGAACGGGAGCGTCCTTTCTATGAGAAATGTATGAGAGAGCGCTGGGCCTTTGAATTGCTATTCTGGGAAGGTTTAAGGATTCTCCTTAGCACAGCTGTCAGATTTAACTTGGCAAATGAATTCCTGACGCAAAAGAGAAAAGTCTGAGGAATTTCATTTAATATGTGAAGAAGAAACCTGATCTAGGATTAGGGTGAAATTAAATTTACTTTCTGGGATTGTGTGATTCCTGGTACAGCAATGAGGTCTCCAGTCAGCTGGATGAGCAAGTTTATTGCTCTAGTGCCATTACATAAAATTATTGCTACCTTATTATTACTAATGGAAATATCTGGAAACCTTGGAGAAAAGACAAAAAAAAAATGGGGAAGGACATATCCATTAAAAGTTATCCAGAGACAAATCTGTGGTGGTTAACTGAGTGCCAAATCCTTAGAGATACGGGCTTTCTGACATTGCAAGAAACTTCTAAAAATACTCCTAGTTTTGTGGCTACATCTAATTTCCCCCATGAGGCTGAGTTGCACCTTGAAAATTTTCTGGTTACATTTTTCAAGGTCTTTGTGCTATTTTCCATCTGACGGTTCTTCTCTTAGTTTTATTGATTGGTTATCTATAGGTGGAACTGTATGCAGTGGTCACGATATGAGCAATATTTGTTTTCATCACTATAGACGAAACTTGACAAACTGAGATTTTAGTTCAGCTCTGCTTTGGGCTGAAAAGTGTCAGGTTCTCAAACCTACCCACAAGGGTTTGAAAGCTTGCTGCTTTTTTAGATAAACATGAGTTTATTGAAGGGGAAAATCAGTTTCTGTCTTTAACCTATGCAGTGCAAAATGCACTGATGTCATCATATACAATTACATTGCATTGTAGTAGACGTTAGAGGACATTTATTATTTCTGTCAAGCTACTGGTCCTGGAGGCTGTTGGTGCTGTTAGTAAAGCATATAAATTGAAGTAGTGAAACAGATGGCAAGCTTCGTATGGAGGTCCAATTCTATCAAAGGACTAAAATCTTTATAACCAAAGGAACATTTAGAATCTTACTGGGAATGCAAAAGACTTATATAAAGAAAGAAGACATAACCTGACAGCAAAATAGGGTTGTAATTTCCAAATTTCTGGCAAAGTTTTCCCAGTCTTGTATAAGCTTTGCAGCATGAAAGAGTAAATTCAAAAAACATACGTGCACAGAGCATGCAAAATTGTGCTGGCAGTGCAATATGTAACAAAAATATTCCTTGCAGAATTCAAATAGAAAAGGACAGGGAGTGCAAAAGGGTAAAGAGGATGAAGGCTCACAGCGCTGTTCTTATCATTAGGAAACAGAAGTGGCTTCAGAGGAGCAAGCTACAGTCAGCAAAATGATATCATTAGGCCAAGATGCCACTCTGTGCAGCCACACAGGCAATATGAATCACTTTACTGGAATGAGCAATGGGAGACGCTAACATTGCTATGAGTACAAACAAGTAGAGCTGCCAAATTTTTGCACTGATGAGCTATATAAGTAAGAGTAGTAGACTGCTCGGATAACCCCTGCAGCTAAATCAACCACACACACACAAAAAAAACCCAATTCTATTAAAAATCCAGCACATAACACAGGTTAACTTAAACGCTATTAAAATGATGACTCAGGAATGTTTTTAGTAAAACCTACCTGTGACCTTGCCCAAAGTAAGAGATTTGATGGCCTTAAAATCAATCTCAGAAAAGTTGTGTTTGAGTTTGATAACTTGATCAACCTGGAAGAGGTCAGTACAATTAGTTCATTACAATAGCACGTAGACACACCTAGACCTTTGTCCTGCAGACTTGTGGGAAGAACCCCAGCTGCAAACAATTCTGTTCGCAAGCGTGATTCAGTTTCTAAAGATAGCAAGTGAATACACTTTGATTTTTGCATGAGAAGCTGAAAGGTGCACAAGAATAGTCATATAAAGGCCTTAAAGAAACTTTCCCTGCAGAAAAGTTTAAATGCTTAATGCTGAAATTCCTCTGCTTCCCAAAATCCATGTCTAGGTGCTGCAAGGTGCACACAAAAAAGGCTTCTCTGTTAATTGCTGTGGAGAATTAGGTCTGCATAAAATAAAGAAAACCACTGTGCAGCAGACAATAGAAGACTGCTACTTGAGGAGAATCCTGACAGCGTAAACCTCCTTCCTGCAGAATTAGGCCTACCTATCTTAGTTGCTGCGTTAACCATGGATCATTTACCACCCAGAAATGGAAATTGCCAAGGAAAGAAAAATGACAGCACTCCATGCGTTCCTTTCCCTTTCTCATTCTTTTCTTTTATCATCGTTCAGCTTTCGTTCAGTCCCCGCCACTCTTCTCTATTAAATGGGTGTGGCTCAGACCTGCCAAATTTTGTTTTGTAATTTGAAGTGTAGAAATTAGGCTCAGAAGGAAAACAGGAGGAGCAGTAAGATGGTCCTCTTCATCCTGACTCGGTAAAACAGGCGACGTGTGGGAACAGGGCAAAGCAAAGACCTCATCTCCCGTGGGAATCTAGACCCAAAAACAAGCCATGATGTACCTGAATGATGAGCTCTCTGCCTTCTCTGTTTATCTTCACATGATGCATCTCTCGGTTGGCAAAATTTCCAGAGTCAATTGTGAAGATGAGCAGTCCATCCTTACTCAACTTGTATCGAACCTGTAAACTTCCTTAAAAGAAGAACAGAATTCTATAAAACCTGTGTCTACAATGAGATATACAACATATAACTCATTTTCTTTTTATTACAGTGAAGAAACACGGTTAAAAAGTCAAGAAAAAGGTTGAGAAGAAATGAAAGAGTTCACACTCTAATGAAAGAAGAAACTCATAGAGGACTTTTCCTTCTTACTAGCTAATAAACTCTGCTGTGGAGAAACTAACTTAATTGAGTAACTGAGTATTATCAAAGGAGAGTTTCTGTCCACAAGCCAGACCAAGCAAGGCCTTAGGCGTTTATCTTCGTACATTAGTCTGCGAAGGGTTGCTTCCACCAGAGGGCATGCAGGTCTTGCACTGTTCTGGTAAACTAATACTTGTAGACTTTACTGTTTCAAGAAAAGGTTTCACCCAGACATAACAGGCAATACAGAAAATAATGAAAACCATGACAGCTGTAACTTCATTTCAAGCATTTAAATGCCCGGACTTATTGCGATTTATAAGCGATGCAAGAAAAGATATACTGTAAAAGATGTCAGAAAATAAACAACTTTGACCTCGGTTAACTAAACTATTTGAAAAACAATTAAGTTAAAAACAAATCTCAGTATTTCTTTTAGTCTTTGTAGGAAAAAAAGAAATCTGATATAAACAACAGTAGCATAACAAATCAGAATGCATAAGAAAGCAAGGAATTCAATATGAATTTTTATCTTTCACAAATGACCAGAAGAGCTACAGACACAAAATTTAGAAGGGAAGAAAGTGTTCAGATAAAATCCTGTCAAGCTTACTTTTTTGTGAATAAAGCAGCGGAGAGAAAAAAAATACTAAGCTTTTTTGGGGCGCTTTTTATGCACAGCAACCAAAACGGGTCAAGCAACAGCCGTACTAGAGAGTTAAAAAGCTTTTCCAAGGCTATTTTCTCAGTGTCCCAAAGGACAAAGCAAAGGACGGCATTGTAACCTTGAGCGAAGGCTCTTTCATTCATTCACTGTTTGGAAAATCATTGTAAAAACTCCCATCTCCTTCCATTTCAGTGCTCACTCGCGTCAGCGCAAAGCCAGACTATTCCAAGAGCCACTAGGCTTTGCAGAAGGCTACAGGCAAACATTACCAATGCTGAACGAAGGGGACTGACTGACTCATTGTCACGGAGGGATGTTTTCACGCAGCGTTAGCTCTAAGACTGGCCTCATCGTTCACAGAGGCAATGTTTGCATACAAGTCGCAAGGCGGCAAGAGCAGCCTGAGGCATGGCTGCATGAGCTGTCACAAGTGCGTGGTGCATGGTGATGTTACTGAGGGGCAACAAGAGGCTGCTCTCCTCACCGCATAGCATGGACACAACTTCTCTTTTTAGCCTTGCAAATTCTCCTGCGATAAGGTCAACTTTCCTGTCCTACAGGCTACTGCAAAACCACCTTATGAGTTTAAAACAACTTATAAAGTTCCTGCAGAGAAACTTATAAAATTATAAAATAAAACTTATAAAATTCCTGCAGAATTTGACCACCTCTATAAAACTCACAGTTATTGTTAATAATTCTGCCAAACTAGACTCAAAGTACCGTTAACATCATAGAATCATTGAATTGTTAAAAAACAGCTCACTCAGATTGTCTCTTTCTAGCAGTCTGTACAATCCCATTTGAGCCCCCATCTCTTTCTGAGCTTTGCAGGACAGAGATGAAGTTACCAAAGATGAGAAGGAGCATGATAACACATTATTAGGATGAAGGCTTTTTAGCTGATTGAGAGGTTTACTGGATCGGGTGAGGTTTAAAAAAAAAAAAAAAAAAAAAAGATTTAAAGGCATTTTCTCACACACATCAGAGGGGAATATTTTTGAAGATATCAAGGTCAGTAACAACTACTACATTATTCAAAGTAATATTATAGGTCCAGATTCAGCTGCTTCGATTCATACTGCAGAGGTCCTGTCCCCTCACAGCCAGGCCAAGGAGCTGCTGCTTATCACCACTCTTGTTGCACTTGCAAGTTCAAACTTAAATCTTAATCCCATTTCCTGCTACCGAATGAAGGATGCATCTACAGGGAATAAAAATGTAAATGTCTTATAATCACTTTACTCCAGAAAAACATGAGAAAAGAAGCCATAGTGCAAAGAAGTTAAGGGACCTTTTCAGACCTGCTTGTTTGGGCAGCGGGAGAGTCAATAAAAGTGGAAAAGTTGCCTGACCCTGCGCACCACAGCTGAGATGACCACACGGAGTAAGCTGAAATGCATTGCGAAAGAGAAACAGATCGATTCTAACTGAAAATCGTGTCCCGGAACTCTATCAGCCACTCATACACCTTTTACCTGAAGCCTTTGAAAGGATCTTAGTGCAGAAAATGGAGCACGACCTTGTACCAGTTGATTAGTTTTTAAATGTAAATGCACTTGTCTGCTCTTGTCAAATGCTACGGTCACATTAGAGTTTGAAATATAAACAGTTCTCCTATGGCCAGGCAATCAATGTAGTCAACAGTGCGTTTGTGCTCAAACGCAGCCATCAGATATGTGATCTATCTCGACTCTCGGGTACGGATTTACCCATTGTCTTAGATCAGAGAAACTCCATTTTAAAGCAGAAATCATCCGTTCCGTTTGCTGGGGGACGTTGGAGCAGATTCTCGATGTCCATTAAAAACACATCTTACATGTCTATAGAGGTACAATTTTAAACTTCAATTGTTTAAAGAGATGAATGAATAGCTTCTCATCAGTTTCTTTAAATTCCAATAGCAACTTTTTTTTTTCTTCTGATTGATGGTCTTCAGAATCATTTTATTCAAATTGGCATTTTTCCTGCAGTCAGCTTTGCATTAATGTAAGGAACACATGGGCTTGTGTCTCCAGAGGTGTTTGGGAATTTACATCAGTGTAGCTGAGAGCTAATTTTGGTACGCACTTATCAAAATTTCTTATGTTGGCAGAGTACAGAATCACGTATTTGATGGAATACACGTTACCATTTTGCTATTTAACTAGCAAAATAAATGAATTATTAATTAAATAGTTATTAGGCTTTTTTTTTTTTGTCCTCTGAATTTTGATTATCCGGTCTATTGAATTTATCCATTCACATCATCCCAGTGTCACTAATCACAAATAAAAATCTGCATATATAAATCAGCATTGTTCTCACTGTTGCATCACTTCTGCCTCAAAAAAAGGATTCACAATAACCATAACCAGTGCAATTTCTGGCAGTCTTGTCACAGTCATGCTTGTCAACCTCTTTTCAGTACCCTGCGTCTGGGCATGCACACCTGGAGTGCCATAATGCTCAAGTGATGCACTACATGTTGTGTTTTCTTCCTTCTCTAATATATGTGGAATTGCTGGAGGCAATTTCTATAAAGTCCATAAAAGAGAGCAGGAAGAAAAGAGAGAGGCATCATGGCTTCAGCCTCAGGCAGGAGAATTTTATGCAGCATATTACCCCAGCGGTACTAGGTAAGAGTAGATTCTCACTTGATTATTACAGCCATCCCTTTTAGCTTTGAATTCCGTAGGTAGGTACCATCGCAGACTGCAGATCAGCATGGAGATGCGCTGTGCTACCCTCCAGAACGGCCTGGAACAGGCATAGTTCAGCCACAGCATGACCTCTCTTCTCTACTTCTGCAGGAAACTAGTCCATGTGGGCTGCAATGCTACTGTGACTAGGCCATAGCCGGTATCAAAGATGGCTTTCTACACACCACTGTGGCTTTCAGACTGAAATCTTCAGCAGTATAATCCCTGCCTGTAGGGCTGAATGACATCGCTGTGCTTGTATCAAGCAGCTGCAGAGCCAATTCAACAAGATTTCTGAGGGCTCCCCGTGTGCTGAGTAAAGTTTCAGGAAACAGAGACCAAACGGCAGTATTTATGCCGTCCCATGCTGGTGAATAAGTAGGGGATGCTGCTTCTGAAACAGAACGCTCGAGAAACTGTTTCGGCGATGATGGAGGCCAGGGCTACTGCTTGCAGTACACTAACTATCAGTGTCAGCATAACCAACCACCAGGCAGTGACAGGAATAGCGTAGTGCTTTCCAACTGCTCATCTTTTTGCTGAGGATGAGAATGATGAAGCAGGAGCTCCTGAGGCCACTGGTAATACAAGGATGCTATGCCAGTATAAAGACTTCAAAGTGCTTAGCCTGAAGAACAAATGTTATTTGTAAGCCACGTTATTGTCACACACATCACAGGGACTACAGGTATTGTGTAATTTTGTCATGAAGAACCAAACAGCGAGAAAGGGAATGACATGCCCTTGGGGTCTGAGAATCCTCTGCAGGACTTCTGTTTATAGAAACAGGTTTTAAACGAGCCCAGATTGAACCCAATATCTATAACAACTTCAATAGCAGCTTTTAATGACTCAAACTGGCCGGAGCAGCTGGCAAGAAATCTTGCACCCCTCAGAGAAGCTGAAGTTAGTCCAGGGAGCACGTGTAGCTGGCATATGTGAAATGTACAACTTTATCATCATCTTATAACTCAGAAAAATATCATTTAAATCAAGGCAGCTGACAGGTCCAGTTTGAGAGAAATATATATGTAGAAAATCAAATGTTCCATTAGGATGAGGACTTTAGAATATACTTGCATGTCTCACTGAAACAGAAGCACCCAGATGTTAAGAAGCAGCAGAACCTCGTGCAGTTGGCTCAAAACAATAGTTACTTGTAACAGACAGTGAAGTATTAAGAATGCTATCCTTACCCACCTCCAGCACATATCTGAGCTGCTGATAAAAGAGAAAATAAAGAAGGAATGCACCAATTAAACAACTGGAGGGAAACATTAGTGAGGCTACTGATATTGCAATTATGAAAAAATTAAAGTATTTAGGCCAGAAAGCCATTTGAAACTCATCAAGTGAAAATGCTGTTTGTTCATTGCTGGTTGCAGAATATCAAATGACAGTTTTCTGTCATCTCTACCAGGAAATACCTCTCTGACAACTTGCTAACTTCAGCGTCCCTCTTTATAGTCTAGATATTTA